CTGTTTGAATTTAAGTGGGAGATTATTAAAGTTAGTCTAGGCTTCCACTTAATATAACTCCTCTCTTTAGCATATTTTATCTAAAAGGTTACATAATATGAGATTAATGCAGCAACTTTAAATGTTTATATGTTTTTACATTCCGCAGGAGATGCTGAATATGGATTACTATTATTCTGTATCTCTTAAAACTTTTTTCTATATTTTGAACAAATAACTGTGGTATTAAAATGCCTTTTTATTTTGAATCATTGCAAGTTATGCATGGAGATTTGTCACACCAAACTTTCTGTTGCTGTGATTCATAATACAAAGCCTGTACTTAAAAATTTATTTGAAAATCAAGTTGTAATTCTTTTAGGTAAAATAAAACAAGTACTGCGGCGAATACCCAGCACATGTAATAATACGCATACAAACAGCACATAAAATGGTCTCATCTCAGAACTAAGTTGTCCGTTATTGTCACAGAGCTCCTATGCATCAAAAAGAACAGTTGGGTGTGAGCTGCTCAATAAAATACAGTGTGAAAATCACCACAAAATGTAGAGTGACCATACTTCACAAGGGAAGAGGCTGATGTGAACGAACTTAATAGAAAACCCACATCACAGCTAGATGTGGCATTTCCAAGGTGACATGAGCGGGACTTTTGTTCTGAACAACAGTGCCACCAAGTGGCTGAACAATGGTAGTGAACTGATAAACAGTATGAATGGAGGGTGGGCAAAAGGAATAATGGAGTTTTGGAATAGGCAATGATAACACTGCAGGCAAAGAGATATACATCGCTGCCATGGTAACTGTACCTTGGAGGTCAGTTAGAGTCTGGACAGGAACAGAAACCTGAGCACTGCTTCCTGTAACTATATCACCTGGATTTCATAAGAGAAAATAATTAGATTTCATAAAAAGGAAAAATATCAACTTTTCTTTCATACTTAATATTGTAATACATTTGTCAACTGAGTTACTAAAAGTAAGGTAAAACAGAAAATACAGTGCAATCTTATGAAAATAAATAGAAAATATTTTTAAGGGAACTGTTTTTTTTTAAAGTAACTCCTAAAAAGCATTTGTGCATATTTTTCTTAAAGAAAAAAAATAAAACAAGCTTCTACTAAAGTATAAAACAAGTTTCTCCCAGTTGGAAGTATGGGATATTCTAGCAATCAAAAGATTCTGCTGAACAGATTTCATTGTGCTACAAATATCAGTACGGTTTTATATTTTCTTTTCAAAAGCCTTTATCCAAAAAATTATAGGCATTTATTAAATAAGCATTCTTTTGAAACTGATTTCCCTGTCTAACAGGCAAAATTTATTTTTAACTAGACTTGAAACCAACTTCTCCAGTGATCAGATAAAGACCTAAAGAAGTTCTAATTTCGTATTAAGTATTGAAAAGATTTCAAAAGTTACCACATGTACCAAATGTCAACATGTAAAAATAAATCTGTGAACTGCATACCCTTTAAACTTGATATACTTATTTCAGGCGAGATTTCATTTACAAATTGGACCTGCTGTAAACGCTGCAAGTAAAGAAGTGTTCAAATTCAGGAACCAGACAAAGGAAATGGGGAAAAAGGATCGCATTTTCGGACCACAGGAGAGAAAGGCAAAGGAGCACTACAGGAAACTCTGTGGGGGACGGAGGCACACGCCTGCTTATGGAAGGGAGACGTTGTGTTTCTTTGATTTCCTTCCCAGATGACAAAGTTCAGCACAAGCACTTGCTGTCAACAGAGTAACCCTCCAGACACCACAGCTTGTGAAGGCCTATGATATTCTGAGATTAACTAGGTTAAAAAAAAGGGCTTCTTAAAAGGCACCATATTTTCTATGTACAATACTGTAAGATTAGTAGACTTGCTTTTCCTATACTTTTTATACAATAGTAAAAAGTCCATTTTTTAATTAAACAACATATCCTCAGTGCCTTGGCACTTGCTACAGTTATGAGTTACACATGGTCAGCTCATCTAGAAATTAGTGCATTGCAATTATAATCATTCCTATCAATTAACAGTACGCACATTTATATTCTCCTCTAACTGCAATAAAATCTATAAATAGGTACATGCTCCAAACAAGTGATGAACAGCTTTTAGCAGAACTTATCAGGTCCTGAATTTTCATAACATGGTTAACTCTCTATTCACTGATAAATAGTGTGCTTATTTCCTGCATATTTAAAGGGAATTTTTAATTGTATGCTTGCTACCCATTTTATTCTGCTGCTTCTGGACCACCTATTAGTGTTTGTTTAGAGACTGAAAACTGATTTTAATATCAAACATTACCAGGAAAATTATGAAGGGACGTCTGTGCTCCCTTTTCCTTCCTTCCCACGACCCCACCCCCGACACATACATGAAGTACAGAACACATTCCAAGCAATGCGTACATGAATTTTCTGTTTTCCATATAGCTGTTCCCCTGTATAAGCACAAATGATTGAGAGTTAACTAACCTAGGAAAACCATAAGCATTTTCATCTTTATAAACATCCATTTTTCAAAACAACTTTCAAATTTTCCAGCAGAGTACACTAAAAAGGCTGTTACATTATCTTTGCTCAAAGGCACTAAGGAGATGGCGCCGTTCTGAGACAGTTAGACGCCATATTCCAACACAAGCCCCCGGATGGCGTGCCAGCCGTGCTCACCACGCCACACAAATCTGTGGCACACCTGCAGATCAGTGGGTGTGACAGCACAGCAGGACACCAGTGGGAAATACCTGCTGAAAGAACCAGTGCCGGAGAAGTGTTTTTCGTTGCAGAGCTAATGAAAAATCTTTCGCCACAGGAGCCACAGATTCTTGGAGCTCGAAACGCCCCAGGGACCAGTCCAAACCTCTTACTTAGGGTCAGGAAACAAATGGTCAGAAAGCTTTAGGGTTCTGCTTACAGTTCACCGTGCATGAGCGGATGAATGGCATCAACCTACACCAGCTTGTACTTGTGTAAACTGCTCTTTGCCTTTTCCTCTGCTTTATTCGAGACTTTATGCAGGGAGGGGCATTACCAGGAATATTCATCTTCAATTATGAAGGTAGACAAGCTTTCTGTAGATTGACACGAGAAGAACAAACCAGGAATAAAGAGAGACAAGAGTTGCCAAACAAGGCTGCTTCCCTCCAGCACAGGGATGGGGTATGAAATGCCCCAGTGATGATGCTCATGTTCCAAATACTTTGCTTAAGTGCTCTGTTGTCTTCTTATAACTGGGGACTTGGTTTTCATCAATTGTTCCATACTCATGCACTTCCTTTCTCACTTACTGTGATATTAATACTTGACATTTCCTTAGAGACACAACTTTATATTTCTATAGTCATTTGGCTTGGTTCCTCAGAAAATTTAAGCTACAGCATTAAGAGATTCTCTGACTCATTTGCCTGCCATCAGTTAGAATTACTACTGAGTACAGCTTGTTATCAAAGCAATATTGAAATCATATTTGTTTAGAACAATAAAACAGTACAATTATGAAATATATAAAATAACATTCATTTCCATTCTGTAAGTGGGCAAGTCTCCTGGCATTAAAATACATTTACAACATGTTAATGATCTGAAGTCTCCTTTTCTTTAAATCGTGTGTGATAGCGCCAGAGTAAGAAGAGGAGAATGTAATTTTAAACAACATAGTCTGATGTAGGTAAACTGAATATGCTGATAAAATTTAAATACTAATATATAGTGTCTAATACTTCATATAGGCAACAATAGATAACATGGTATATTTGAGGAAGAACACACACTCATTACTCAATAATGCTCATTATTTTAAATCACTGGGTAATAATGCCCATTGAACTTAAGTTTACCAATTTAAATACCAGTAATTAAAATTTTTTCATTATTTTGGATGCAAACTCCTTAAACAGAGTAGATGGAACATGGTTTAAGGTCTTCCTACTGACTCAACGTTACTGCTGCTACTGCCAACACCGGTTCTTTAACAGGGCTATTATGCAGGGCTCCCTGGAAGACACGATTGGGGCATCGGTCAGTCTATCTGACTCGAAACGAAATGGCTATCTGATGCTTTGGAATGCTAAGGAATGACTTGTATACATTTTCTGCCATTGTGTTAGTATTTCTTTTTTCTGTAGTATAGATAACAGAGTCTCTCATCTGCTATAAATAGGGGTACTTGATCATCTGTCTCTGAAAATGAGTGGAAAGTCAGAGCATAAAGATTCCGAGTTAGAACCTGACGGGCCCCCTTAGGAAACAGTACACGAGGCAGGAGAGACACGGGGGAGGCTCAGAAACGAAGGGAGCTCACCCAGGTCCCGGGGCCAGAGCGCCACTAACAGTCCCCACGGCAGTGCCCTCACTCACACCAAAGGAGGCTTTGGATCGGCGCATCTGCCAGGTTTCCTCTGCTCTCACATTCTATGGCTCATTGTTAGTGCACGGACTCAGACACTTGCTTTGGCTGCTTGACATTCTGCTTAGCTTTTTCTCCCCTGAAGGGTCTAGTCTGTTGAGCTCAGAGGTAAAACAGCCGGACGAGTGACTGCAAGCCTAGTGGCACATTTCCCCCAGACCCACTGCATGGACGAATGCTGTGCCCAGTACAGCCCGTGGGATTCGAACCTTCCCAGTTCAGATTCCCTTCTGGTCAAAAGCATTATCATCTGAGATAGCAACGGATTTCACATTCTGTGTTGTGATACTTCGTGCCATACTCTACCGGAATCCACCGAACCCAAATGCAATTATTGTAGGATATAAATGTAAAAAAAATCCCCAAAACCAAAAAACACCTTCACAAATAATCTCATAAAATGGTCCATAATAAAGAATGATGTAATATCTAATAATACAACGTAAAAGAATCTAATAGAATGGATCTTTTAAAAATTAAGTTTTGCATTGATTCCTATTTCTAGGCAGTTGGGTTCTCACAGGCAGGTGAGGAAACCCCAGACTGTACTGGGAGGGTTTCCTTCAGATGTATTAGTACTTCTTTCTTCCTCACCTTTGTTCAGTTGCACTGGCATGCTTTCTGATTTCAGGAGTCTCTGCTGCTGCTGCTGCTGCTGCTGCTGCTGCTGCTGCTGTTGCTGCTGCTGCTGCAAATGATGTCTGGGGGCCTCTGCTAAGGTTGGTAAGGTCCTGGTGGGAGCCACAGCCATGGAGGAGCTGCCTCCGGATACAGGGCCACCGGTACTGCCTGGGGCCATTGCTGGAGAAATCAACTTCCTTCCAAAATTAATCAGGCTATTAGAGACTTTATTTATATTCAGGGGAGTGCCTTTGGCATTGGTCCTGTAAAAAAATTAGGTGGAGAGACATGATTTAAATTAGAGGACAACTATATTTTGCACTATTTCACATATGCCATTGGTATAAAAACGTATCTTACCTGCTTCGAAATGGCTATTTGCTAGCTCGGCTGTACCAAGTGAGAAGTGAAAACTTAGTGACCACAAGATAATAAAACAACAGGACTCTTAAAGATGTGGCTTCTGGAAGACAGTCTTTATAATTCTCACCCATCCATCCATTCACCCCTCCATTTAATAAATAGGGCCTACTGTGTGCCGACACTGTGCCAGGTTCTGAGGAGACAACTGTCCGAAACAGACAGTTTCCTTCTTGTAGCTTCTAGTCTAGTAGGGAGTAAATGTACTAATCAAATACATAAATAAAAGCATGATTAAAACCCATGGTGAGGACTAAAAGGAGGGGAACAGGGCTGGGTGCGGCTTGGGCCACCCACAGAAAGGGGAGCCTGTGAAGCCAGGCTGAGACGAGGTTTCCCACTCGGTCTTGTCTGTGAGGACGAGGTTACATTGAATGTGATTTGGAAAAATAAACTCGAGAGTCATGAAGTAAACTCACAGGAATCATACCAAATGCCCAGACCACAGGCCCTGCAATGAGCACTCACCCCCGCCACCTGCCCCCACGTTCCACAGGCTCCTTCCCCACTTCTCTGCTTCACGTTTCCTGATAGCACTTTGCATCAGCTGACATACTATATATTTTACTTATTTGATTATCATTTGTCCACTTCCTCCAATCTCCACTAGAGTAGAAGTTTCATGAAGACAAGGATTTGTTGTCTCTCTGCTATTTGGCCATTGCCCAGCACCCATAGGTGTTTTATAAGTATCTGTCAAATGGCAGCAGCATCTACCCACAGTCTATGTCTTCTCGCGTGTTGCAGGGGAAGAGCCCCGCGCTCCTCGCTGTGGCCAGCCTCTCCATTCGGGCTCTGCGGCTCCCTCTCCTGCGTCACCACCTTCTCCTTCTCTGCTGTATGATTTCCATGACCTCACAATGAGTTTTGTTTCAAAAGGTGTCTTAAGGTGCTACTGCTGCTCCGTCAGTTTCTGGCTCTGTAAGGCCTGGCTGGCTCCTTGCGGCTGCTCCAAATGCACTCCTCAAGGTCACCAGTGACTTAGGCACTGCAGAGCCAAAGGTCCATTCTTATCCCACTCTGCCCCTCAGCAGCAGTTCACCCCTGGAAACACTCCCTCCCTCACACACACTTCCTCCCTGGGCTTCCAGGGCTGGCCAGCACCTGTGCTGTACCTGGCAAATAGAGGACACCAACTAAACAGCTGCTACACGAGCGATTACTTCCCAAACGATTCATGATCTTGAACTGGTTCAGAGCTAGCTAGTATCTTCTTGAAGACAGTTATGATTATCAATTATTTTAGTTGTACAAGAATCCAACTCCATGACAACACTGAAGTTTGTACTTTATTGCTCAAATAATTAATAGAAGCTTTTCTTCCATTTTGCTTTTTCTTCGTTAAAGTGAGACGCTGAAAATCAAGTCTGAGGGATTCACTTACTTGATTTTAGTTAACCTGAATTTTAACCTGGATCAGATCTACCTGACAGCACTTCCCTGGTGCCTTTCCCACCTTTCTCACAACAGCTGTGCCCTTGGCATTAGCACATGCAGCTGTAAAGCCAAACGGATCCACAGTTCTATTAATAAAAGGAAAGAACACTATGCTTCTTTCTTCCATAAAGTTTTCTCTAACGGTACTAGCTAACATTATGGGCTAGGTATTGAAGAATTACATTGCTTTGGACATAGGACAAATCAAATTTAAATCCTGGAATTCAGCTTTATAATAGAGATTCATTCATTTATAACTCACTGAAATGTGAAAAAATTCATTGTCAAAGTCCTCTTTCTGTATCAAGTTTAATCTTTAAAGAACCGAGCTATTTAATATCCTTTCAAAAAGTATTAAGAAGTAGTGTTTCCTAATAGATATGAGGATATATAGTGGTTACACACCACTTCTTCACTTTTAGCTGTTTACTTGTGAAGGACAGCATCCCCAGTTTAGACACTGTAGCTTAACAACGGAGAAAGCACGGAAGACATGTTTATTGAGAAAAAGAATGGCTAAAATGAAAAGAACTCATAGATCCCAGAGTAAGCAGGCATTCACCTCTGGCACTGCATTCCGCTCGGCGGCCTCCAGACACTCCCACGCCTTGTGAGGAGGCAGCAGAAAGAAGAGCTACCACGATGTGAAGTTCTACTGCAGTTTAGTTTTGCTTCTTTGCAAGTCAAGATTCATAATTCATAGATATGAAGAAGTTGTAATGTTGTTACCCTTTTTTATAAACAAAAATGTACTAGTCAAATTCCCATATTGCCAGTTGTAAAATTTATATGCTGATAAAAGTACTAAGGAACTGCTGGAGCATTGTCAAGAGAATACGGTTAATGCATCTTCATTACTACTAATAACCACGAAAAACATACAGATCAAGCTCATGCCGAGCCATTTTTCATCTGAATAGCTCTTAAAAGGGAATGAGCACTGTTTTCCTTTTTTGAATGTTTTTTTGTTTTTAACCAATTTCCCCCTCATCCACTACCCATAGCTTCCAGAAGAATATATGCTTTTCAAAACAACTGTCGATGGCAACTCTACTTATTTTCAGATATAAACAACTGTAAACTATGTACTTCTAGGAAAGGCAGACTGTCCATAGTTTGTTTTTAAGGCATGACAATTTTTAGGCCAAGTCAGTTAATATAGATCTTAAATATTACTAGCAGCATTCCCTACAAGAAATACTAAACCATTTGCAACAATTATTGCCTGTGACTTTACACTATTAAGGCACATATGCTAAATTAATGACAATGCAGTTATCGGAGATCTGATGGGCAGTGAAGATCGAACTGGATTAAAGATAGAGTGTAATGTGTAAATAGAGCTGAGATGAACAGCAAAAGGATTCTGCAATTAAGACATTAGATCACAAACCTGATGAGTGACAAATTCTGTGTGATCAAAGCCTTTCATTCCTATTTTCTACCACATACTATTACTAAGTAAGTAGTACCATCAAGGAAAGATTGTCTTGAAATTGTACCAACAACATGTTTTGGGCATGACTTCATTTACTAGCTTGAATCAGTAGCAAAAGGGCGTTTTTCTGAAAATTCATGAATCCTTCAAAACACCTGTACTAGAACCCAACCTGGGTTTACCGCTGGGCCCCATTTGTTCAGTTTCTGAGACTTAAAAAAAAATCTCTGAAACTCCTGGTGCCTCTTCCTACCCTCTAACTACCCTCAATCTCTTGTAGCCCAGCTTTCTAACCCACGTTCTACTGGAAGAACTTTTAGGGTCTCTAGTGCCCTCTTAATTGCCAGAGTCGCGAGCTGTTTTAATTCAACTTCTAAAACTGTCCTACAGATTCAAAGAACACATTATCACATCTGTAAAAATTTCCACAACTTTTCTTCTCCCAATATCCAAATCTTGGCCATGCACAAACGGGGGACAGTGGCCGAGAGGTGTGTGTGCCGTTCGCAGTCCAGAGGCACAGCCTCGTGGCAACGCTGGCCTACCCAGAGGGCCACAGGCCTCCTCTCCTCCCACACCTTGTCACTACATCACCAAAGGTCTACCAATCGCAGCTCCTTTCACCTACTGCATCATTCCCAACCATGAAAACAAGTATAAGACATACCGATAAAGCAAAATGCAGAGTTTGAAGAGACAGAACAAGCGTCAGAGGTAGACTCAGATACAGCAGGGATGTTGGAATGGTCAGACTACAAATTTAAAACAACTATAATTAAAATGTTAAGGGATCTAATGAATAGACAGTGAGTATAGACAGATGGAAAATTTATGCAGAGAGAAGGAAATTCTAAGGGATAAAAGAGAAAGGATAGAGCAAAAAAACTGAAACAAATGAAGAATGTCTTTGGTGGGCTTATTAGTAGATTGGACACAGCTGAGGAAAGAATCTCTGAAGTTGAAGATATTTCAACAGAAACTCTCCAAACTGAAAAGCAAACAGAAAGAGACAGAATCCCACCCACAGAAGAGAATATCCAGAAGCTGTGGGGCGACTATAATGGTGTAACATTCCCACAATGGGAGTAACAGAAGGAGAAGAAATGCGTGAAACAACAATGACGGAGGATTTCCCCAAATTAATGTCAGACACCACACCGCAGATCCAGGAAGCTCAGAGAACATCAAACAGGATAAATACCAGAATCACTATACTTAGTCATATTATTTTTAAGCTACAGAAAACCATAGAAAAAGAAAAACAACCCTGAAAGCAGCCAGAGGGAAAATCACCTTACCTACAGAGGAGTAAAGGTAAGAATCACATCCAACTTCTCAGTAAACCATGCAGGCCCGAAGAGAGTGGCCCCGGGGAACATGTGAAGTGCTGAGAGATAAAAACCACCCCTTTGAGTTCTGTACCCCATGACATTATCCTTCAAAAGTAAACACAGTGCCAACACAGAGTAAACAGTGTCTACAGTGCAGGAGGTAACTGACAACTATGGGAGATAGCTCTTGGAGACATTAACTTCCAGTGGAACTGAGTTTTGTACTTGCAAAATGGAGCAGAACAGAGGAGAGGTATGACCTTGAGCTGGAAGAGCAGCTGAAAAAGCTGGGGAGCAATCCTCCAATATGCCGCGGACGGCTTGGAGGGAAAGCAGTCCTTTTTTTGCCTGGCTTTACAAAATGAGACGAGTTGCACAAGTTGCAAAACATACCCGAAGATAGTTAAAAATCATGACAAAGGGAATTCTTTCTAAAGATTTAAGAGGCTCTGTTTAAAATATAAGTGCTCCTTTGCTTAGTAGAGGTTGCAGAATGAATTCTAGACACAGGGTCTCTCGTCCTGGCACAGGTGAGAGGCAGGGTTACAGGACAGCCCCCTGCCCCTCTCAGGTGTATCACCTGCTGTGTCAGTGGCTTCCTACCCTCTCATTCAGGGCACTGTTGAGAAGACAGGAC